TGCGATGCCATGTTTTTGTAGCAGGGCACGCTGCAGAAACCCAGGCAGCTCTGCCATAGCACTGCATTAGAAACATCATCATGCCTTTTATCATTGCAGAGCACAAAGCGTGTGTAACCCCCCAAACCCCCATTGTCATTCTGTTAACATTTTACATCAGTTTGTAATGGCTACAAAAGACATAAAGCAGTAGAGGAACCTCTGGAGTCATGCACAGAGTGGCAGAAGCAGTTCTTGGGGCAACGCACTGTGGTGTGTCACACTGCACAGGGAGTTATGAAGAAAGACGAGATAAACCGGTTATGTATGGGCATAGTTAGGGGACATTTATTAAATAGTGCCAGGCTGTTGTGTGGAAAGACAAGGCTGTCTTGGCTTGGGGTCAGCAACCCTTCGAGGGTGCTACTTCAGATTCTATTTTTCTATCCCAGGTTGGAAGAGTCCTGGAAGAAACTCAGCAGCAGCGAAAGACGCTCCTACCACTGATCAGTAATACCTTGCTTCTGCGTGAGACCTCTGCACGAGGCTCCCCGTTCAGACCACAGTGCAGGCAGGGGGTGGGAGCTACCACCCGAGGGCCTGTGATCCCCGTCTCTGTGCTTGCTTTGCTCTGTTGCTTTCCAAATCTGGCCACGTGCCACCTTTGGTGTCCTCGCCGCAGGTTGCAGAAGCCTGGCCTAGGCCACAGGAAGTATGAAACGGAGCAGTAGTCACGGTAGGTGTGAACACACCTTGTCAGAGCCAACCGCGCGAGTCATTTATTACAAACACAGGACGACAGATCCCACTTAAGGCACAGGAACGTGCCGCCTGTAAACTGAGATTGTAATAGCTTCTCTCCCTGCGGACTGCTTATATTGTGACTTCTGTGAGGTGGAAGTTTTCCTACAGGGTTGCTGTACGGTAGGTTACTAGCAAAGGAGAGGCTCCATCATGCTTAAAGCTCAACCTTGGTTTGAATGCAGCAGTTGCGTAAAGAAGGTCCACGTTCCCCCTTTACCCAAGGGCGTGGGGGGGCTGCCCTTTTCCCGCTGCGTTGCATGAATACCAGGCACTCCAGCGTTCTAGTTCCTCACTTAAAACCCTTTGCAGGAGAACAGGTAGACGTATTTCATTCCCAGAGCTTGCCGTGAGCAATACGGCAGCAACTAGGAAGTTAGGAAGAGGGCTCTTCCTTGCGCCTCCCGAGACTGCGCGCCCGCGCACCCGTAGCCGCCGCCCCGCGCGGAGCCCGATGCCCAAGGGCCGCTGCTCCCGCCGCCGGCCGGCGCCCCCC